AAGAGTTGAGCTTTGAGAGCCTCTTCCTAGATTTCAGAGTATGTATGGAAATGCCTGAATGTCCAGGCAAAAGTCTGCTGCAGAGGAGGAAATCTCATGGAGAATCTCTCCTAGGGCAATGCAGAGGGGAAATGTGGGGTTGGAACTCCCACATAAAGTCCTCTACTGAGGCACTGCCTAGTAGAGCTGTGAGAAGAAGGCCACCATCCTCCAAAACCCAGAATGGTAGATCCACTGACAGCTTGTACTGTGCACTTGGAAAAGCCAAAGGCACCTGGAAAAGCCGGCCCATAAAAGCAGCTGTGGGGGTTGGACCCTGCAGAGCCACAGGGGCAGAGCTTCCCAAGGCCTTGGGAGCCCAGCTCTTACATCAGCTTGTCCTGGATGTGAGACATGGTCTCAAAGGAGATCACTTTGGACCTTTAAGATTTAATGAGTGCCCTGTTAGGCTTCAGACATGCATGAGGCCTGCGGCACCTTTGTTCAGGCCAATTTCTCCCTTTTACAATGGGAACATTTACCCAGTGCCCGTGCCCCCAAAGAATCTAGGAAGTACTTAACTTGCTTTGGATTTTACAGGCTCATAGGCAGAAGGGCCTTGTCTCAGATGAGACTTTGGACTTGGACTTTTGAGTTAATGTTGGAATAAGTTAAGACTTTGAGAAACTGTTGAGAAGGCATGATTGGTTTTGAAATGTGAGAAGGACATGAGATTTGGGAGGGGCCAGGGTGGAATGATATGGTTTGGCTGTGTGTCCTCACCCAAATCTCATCTCAAATTGTAATCCTCATGTGTCAGGGAAGGGACACGGTGGGAGATGATTGGATCATGGGGTGGTATCCTTCATGATATTCTCATGACAGTTAGTTCTGACGAGATCTGATGGTTTAAAAGTGTGGCACATCCCCCCTTGCTCTCTCTCTCACCACCATGTAAGATGTGCCTTGCTTCCCCTTCACCTTCCGCAATGATTGTAACTTTTTTGAGGACTCTCCAGCCATGTGGAAATGTGAGTCAATTAAATCACTTCTTTATAAATTATCCAGTCACAAGTAGTTCTTTATAGCACTGTGAAAATGGATTAACACAACCAGTAATTCCTAACCTTTTGAGACTATCACCCCAGCCATGTTTCATTTTGCAATGTTTCTTCTTCAAGAAGCTAAATATCTATAGCCATTCATTCAACCAATCTTTACCCCATGACCACTCTATTTAAAATACCACTGTATTATGGAAAGGGCCCTTCACTATTTTCTCCACCCAAGATAGGCTTTTTCATTCATCCTTTGATCATTCAACATCTATACAGGCAACTATATTTGGGATTATTTAAAAATGAACCTTAAATCATGAAATCATAGAGGTGGCCAGATGAATTAAATATAAGCACTTCAAATTCATAAAATACAAATTTCTTCATTCAATCAGGTAAATTTGCAAACTAGTGATTTCTGATAATTTTATAGTAACCCAGGCTGTTTTAATTCTTTCAAGACATCTCATGGAATTAAGATTTTAATTTATACATCTATATGAATGTAAACATACCCATGCATAAATCCAGGATCATTTATATCAAAAGTGATCTACGTGGTTTCTACCAGAGATTTTTACTCTTTAGGAAATGTAACAATTTATACTTACTTGTTTAATAATATGTCTCTCTTAAAAGCATGCTATAAATCAATTAGCTTTGAACCTAGACCAGAGGAAAACTCAGGATCCCTTTCATTTCTGTGATTTATTTGAATCTAACCATATTCAAAGATAGGCAAACTAACACTAGCATTTTTCATTCCCATTATCCTCACATTCATGTCTATTCTGGTTTGATAAAATGTTTATAGTATAAGGTAATAAAACAAAGGCAACATAATGCATGCACTTAATGAATCTTCTTCCCTACTAGGGTATAAAAATAGGAAGACTAACAGCTAAGTCTTAATGAGTGCTATGTGCCAGGATAAGTTCTCTGGACATATTTTCTCATTTAATCCTTACAACACATGTACATGAAGCAAATAAATTATCTTTTAACAACAGAACTAGGACTAGCTTTTGTTTATGCCATATTTTTGAAATCCTCGCCTGTATCACACACACATCACTGCAAAAAAAGTGAGAGAAAGCTGGATCTCCCTGAGCCTCAGCTTTCCTATCAGGTTATACAACTGTGCCATTCTTTATTTCTGGAATTTTCCTGTGGTTCCAAAAAATGTTATAGATGTAGAAAATTTTCAACATTTTGGATGTGCAATTTCCATCTTATTGTGTTCCCTCACATATGGTGTTCTTGCTCAAAGAGCATCAGTATTTTTAACTTGCACAATATTAGTAACTGCTTTGAATTATTCTTCATTGACAAGCATCCAAATATCTTTCACAAATTAGAAAATTACATGTATTATTTAGGCTAGTGTGTTCATTGATTTTTCAGACAAATTTTCCAGTAGAATCACTGTATTTTTCATTTGGAAGAGATCATAAAGACAACTTAATATAAAGTTATCTCTTTTTACAAGTGAAAATCTACAATGCAGAGAGGTTTAAGTGTCTCTCCTAGGTCAATGTTTAGTTAGTAGTAAAAACCACTAATTGCGGCCCAGCTGTTTTCTGCATAAAAATGTTAATTATTATAAAATTCATATTTTTATACATCATTCTGCAGAAGATGCATCAGGAATAATTGGCACATTACTATAATACTATATTATCATTAGTATTACAATGTAACACTTGTGTCTATAAATTATATAATATTTTGTATATCATTGCTGTTTTGTTCACAGTTTTTATTTTTTTACTGTATGTCTTATGTCCCTAACTAGATTGGGACTTCCTTGTGGTAGGCACAATTTGTTTTTTAAATGTTTCTCATAGCTTTTGGTAAGTCTTAGACATATGCAAACTGCTTAACAGAGATTGACATAAACATAATTAAAACGAATACCATATTGCTCAACATACAGGCAAATGACTCTATGGATGCCGGTGAATTTGTTGGTCTGAAAGGAAAAAGTTGAGAAATTGCCCTCATTTCTTATCAAGCCCTGAGATTGTTCTTGAGGGTAAGTGGTTTTAGGCCTTTAAGAGACTGGTGAAGTAAATAGAAATTAGAGGGAATGGTGAGGGACTTCACTAACCCTCAAGTACACGTGGCAGCATATGCAGATCAAATTGATCAATGCAAACAAGAATGACAAAGCACTAAGCATCAGGGACTGCTGTCAGTACTCTGCCTATATTAAATCAGCTACCCCTCATAACAACCCTAGGTATTTTTCCCATTTTGTGGATGAAAAAAAGTTGAGGCTCGGAGAGGTTAGGTCATTTGCCCAAGTGAACTGGCTAGTAAGTGGTAGAGCCAGGTTTCAAACACTGACTGCTCAGGGCCTACGCTCCTATTCACAGTGTGATGGTTAGGATAAGACAAGATAAGCCGGTGGTGGTTAATACAATGCCTAACAAATGCCTGCTCCCATAGTGGAAGCTCAATTGATATTAGTTCCCCCTGCTTTCTGGTTTTCAACACAGTGGCCCCATATTTATTTACTCAACCACTCCTTACTCACCACACACACACACACAATGACACATTCACACACACTCCAGTCTTTTTTCTTCTTTTTTTTTTTTTTTGAGACAGAGTCGTGCTCTTTCGCCCAGGCTAGAGTGCAGTGGCATGATCTCGGATCGCTGCAACCTCCGCCTTCCAGATTCAAGCGATTCTCCTGCCTCAGCCTCCTGAGTAGGTGGGATTACAGGCACCCACCACCACACTCGGCTAATTTTTTGTCTTTTTTAGTAGAGACAGGGTTTCACTATGTTGGCCAGGCTGGTCTCAAACTCCTGGCCTCGTGATCCACCCGCCTGGACCTCCCAAGTTGCTGGGTTTACAGGCATGAGCCACCGCACCCAGCCACACTCCAATCTTATAACAACAAAGTCCACACTCAGGTATCTAGGTCAGTAGGTGTCAAATCCATACATATATTCTTCGTGATGGGATTTTAGATCACATACCTAAAATGAGTCCTAGGACCAAATTCCGCTCTCCCATCACTCTCCAAGGTGACTGTAAATACACGAACGCTGACTCTGGATTCCAAACATATGCACATACATAGCCTGATATAAGGCAGAAGTCAACTCTGGACTTTTCTTTTTCCATTATCCAGGGAAATGCATGAGTTACCATGACAGATGCCAAAGAGACCCTTGGCTCTGGTAGTGGAAATTGGGAGGCAATGGTGAAATGAAGTAAGAAATTCCAGGGCCAGAAGGTGCATGCAAGTCAGCAACGACTTTTCACCGGAGCTCGCTCCTTTGGGGTAAGTGCTACACGTACAAGCCCCAACCCGCTGCCTAAGCCACCCTATTCTGAACCCCGCTCAGGCTGCAACAGATGCACACACCGCGGGGAGCCTCATTTGCAGGAGATGAGTGTTCCCTTGCTCTATTTTAATCCTGGCAGCGCAGCTGGGGAAGGTTTTGTCAGAAATGGTGGAAAACAGTGACCACAAAGCTTTCTGGAGTAAAGCCTAGGCAGCTCAGGAGCAGCGAATCACAACTAACACAGTATTTAATAATTCAAGGCAAAACAAGTTTCCTTCCAGCCGTCCGGCACTTTTGCAGCCAGCTCGGGCAGCCGTGGCAGCGCCTGGGCGACGACCTTCCTGGCTCTGAAGGGCGGGCGCGGCGGAAACGCCAGCAGCACTGCCCCGCGGATCCGGAAACGGCCTCTCACCGGTCCTCAAGGACCGACTCCGTCCAGATAAAAACCCCTCCTGGCCCTACACGGGAAGGGCAAGTTCAAACGCAAGGCCCGAAACAGACCCAGCCAGGCACCCCCGCCCTCCTCGCAGCGCAGTCGCGCAGTGAACGACTGTCCAGCGCCAACCCTGCTTACTGCGCCTGCGCACTCCAGGGGCGCCCTCAAGCTTTCCCCGGCCGCCCGCCCGTTGCTTAGCAACGCGCGAGTCACAGTCGCCGCGCTCTGCGCGGGCTGCGTCCCTGTTCTTCCCAGGAGGCTCCTCGCTGCCTGGTGCCATAGAGGCCCATGGAGGGAAAGGAGGATAAGCATCAGTAAGTGCTGGGGTTTGGCGTCTTATTTCCCCTCCCCAAAACCATTTTCCTCCTTCAGGGGCATGTCGGAGTCCTCAGCATGGACAGTCCAGGCCAAGCTCAGACAGTCCCCTTGCTGCCTCTGATTGCCAGTTGGCTGAGCGCGTACAAAAATAATTTTTAAAACGCACCATTTACTGAGCACATACTGTGTCGGGGACTTGACTTGCATTCCCAGGTCTAAAATTCTTGAAGTCATCCACTCCTCACACTTATTAGCAGATGCTGTAGGCTTTACCTTTAAAATTATCCAGAATCTACCACTGTTCATCACTTTCAGTACTGACCCCACCCTGTCCCAAGTACCAGTTTCTCTTGCCTGGATCCTGCACCCGCCCTCCAGCTGGTGGCTTTGCTTTCTCCTTACCTTTCTGTAGCCTCCTCGACACAGCAGTCAGAGCGGTCCTCTTAAAGCCCAAGTTAGATCGCAGTCTCCATCGGACATCATAGGATAAAAGCCAAGGCCCCTCCAATGGCCCCTTCGTTTCTTGGCCTTAACTACAGCTTGCCTCACTCTGACAGGACTCTGCTACAACAAACAGGCCTTTCTGCTGTCATCTGCAGTGATTCAGACCAGCATCAGCAACACCTGGGAACTTGTTAGGAATGCAAATTTTGAGGACTCCCCACCCCACAGACATACTGAATCAGAAACTCTATGGCCGGGGCTCAATAATCTGGCTTTAAGCAAGGCATCCTCTAGATTCTGATGTACCTTAAAATTTGAGACTATTAATCAAGGCAGTACATACAGCTAGTTAGGAATGATGTGGAGCCAGGGATACCTTCTTCCAAAGACTGAATTTTTGATCCTGCAACAATGGTTCTCACACATTAACGTGCATAAGAATCAGCTAAACAGCTGGTTAAAACACGTTCCTGGGAACCAGCCCCAGAGATTCTGATTTAGCTGGTTGAAATGGGGCCCATAAATTTGTTTTTCTAACAAGGTCACAGTTGATGCCAATGCTGCTATTCCAGTGCCCATACTTTCAGAAGCACTGCGCTAAGGATGGTTCTGCTGCGAGCTTTGGCACTTACAGTTCACTCTACTGGAATGCTTTTCCCACAAATATCCACTTAGCTCTCTCCTCCCCTCTTTCTGTTTTCAATTGCCACCTTCACAGTGCAGCCTCCACCCTATTTAAAAATGCAAACCTACCTCCCACATACCTGCACTCCCTTTTCCCGTTCCCTACTTTATTATTGTCCTTGGTACTTAACAGACGACGTAATTTACTTTTTCATCTATCTTTCCCCATTAGAATGCAAGCTCTGTGAGGGCAAGATTTTTTGTCAGTGCTTTATCATCTGTGCCAACAGCACCTGGCATGCAACTCAATAAATATCTGTTGAAACAATCAATTATTCAGTGTTATATAGCTCACAATAGGTATTATTGTTCCTATCATGCAAATGAGGAGACCAAGGCTCAGATATTGAATGGCAGAACAGGGATTCCAGTCCCAGTCTGACTCACTTCAGAGCCCATCAGTGTTTTTATCTGTGCTTTTCTTCTGGCAAGAGATTGCTAGAGTCATGTATTTCATGCTTATTTATCAACCCATAGGCACACACCACAAGTGCTTAATCAAGTGAATTTAACTATATAAGCAAATAGTCCCAGTCCTTTTCTTCAAGGACTTGATCACCATAAGTGTATATTGTTGGGTGATAACTATGAAAAACAGGTGGAAAAAACTGATACCCAAAGTCTACAATAATAAATTAGTTGACCCCAAAGTCTTTACCTTTAAATGAATAGCTATATCTCCAGAAAGGTAATAGAAAAAGGTTTAGAAGTTCTTTACATTTTACCAGTAATCAGTTTTTCCAAATCCTTTGCAGAGAGGAATTTTTGTTGGGAAGCAGGGAACTAGAATCCAAGGATTCTGAATGTTGTTTTCATATGTATTGGAGGGGTGATTGAGGGTATTTAAACAAAGCTGGAGTAAACAATTCCAGGAGATTCACCAGAAATATGTACGTCTTACAATGGTAGTCCATTTACCTTTGATCAACAGGACACTTTTCCTGATGTTGGGTACATAATGAATGAAACAATCTGCACCTTCATGGAACTTATTAACTAATAAAGGGTATTTGTAGTGCTTAGTAAAAACAAAAAACTAGGTACATAAAAAATTATAGTGTTAATAAAAGAAATGAACAAAGTACTAAAATAGAGAATACATGCAGTAGGGGAAAGGCAATCTAGGAAAACCTGCCAAGGAGATGGTTTTAAGCTGAGACCTAAATATCCTGAGCTAGCTGTGCTGGGAGCTGGGGAAGAGCTGTCCAGGCAGAGGAAACAGCATGTGCAAATGCCCAGAGGGAAAGAGGTTGGTGTGTTCCTGGAACTGACAGAAGGCAGTCTTATGGGAGAGTCTTGAGTGAGGTCGAACAGATTCACTGGGGCAAGTCACACAGGACCTTAGAGCTATAATTAGAAGGCAGTATTTAATTACAAATGAATGGAAAGCTACTTGAGGGTTTTAACTGAAAAGTGATGTGGGCCAGGCATGGTGGCTCACTCCTGGAGTCCCAGCACTTTGGGAGGCCGAGGCTGGTGGATCACGAGGTCAGGAGTTTGAGACCAGCCTGGCCAACATGGCGAAACCCTGTCTCTACTTTAAAAAAAAAAAAATATATATATATATATATATACACAAAAATTAGGTGGGCATGGTGGTGCATGCCTGCAATCCCAGCTACTTGGGAAGCTGAGGCAGGAGAATCGCTTGAACTCAACAGGCGGAGATTGCAGTGAGCCCAGATGGCGCCACTGCATTCCTGCCTGGGACAGAGCGAGACTCTGTCTCAAAAAGAAAAAAAAAAAAATGACATGGTAGAAGAAATGGACCTGGCATTCGTTTGAAGGAAGGCAGGTGTTATACTTTAAGGGCTGTGTATGATGTTAAATGGTGCCACCTGCTTTCTCTATGAATTTGGAATTTCATTGACTCATCTGCTGTGGGATCACAGCTTTGATTTTTAAAAGCTATGTAAAAAGTATTCAAATTCATATATTTCATTCTTTGTTTTTCAAGTATGTGAATTTAAAAAATACTGCCTTTTATAATTTCCATTTCTCCTTATTTGAAAGGAGAAAAATTTGATTAACTTTCTTCCTAAATATTAAAAAAAATTTTTTTTTCATTTTAGTAATTTTTATATTTGTATCAGTATACTTACTAGAGGCAAAAAACAAAGAGACTGAATTGAGTCTGACTGCCTACATAGTGTTCTTTTCTTGAAAAGATAAATCGTGGTGCTCCTTTGGTAACTTTAAGTTTGCCAGACAAGTTTTTTAAATCAACTAGTTTGTCTTTGTCCAGATAGCTGTTTACTAGGTAAAGAGGGGAATAAAACTATTCTCTTGGTAGTAATACTTTTAAAGAAGATGAGTTAAGTACAGCAGGTAACTTATCCATACACATAAGTACTGCAAACATGATTTGGAAGCACAAATCCAATCACTACTCTTTCTTTACTCCAAGCAAATGAGAGTTGGTACACTGCACTGGTATATTATAATGAGTAATCATTACTAACACAAATCCATTTATCACTTATATGATAGAATTAGAAAATGGCCTCCTAAATTTTAATAGCACAGACTCTTATAACTATTAATACAGCCTAAATTGTCTTGACTGATGTTTGTAATATATTTAAATTTTATGTAATTTTGACTCAGTGTTGTAATGATTACTAGGGCAAATGATTTCCTATTTATATTTTTCAGAGAGCATAAAATAGGGGATGCTCCTATAGCATATGTAACTGAAAATAAAGAAGAGATTAAACATGAAAAAAACCTTGGACAAAGCATACGACATTCAAAACCACGTGTCGGAAGAGGACGTATATATTACGCTAAATTCATTAACACAAATGCAAGAACATACAATGAACCAGTTCCCTACGTAGATCCCAAAAAAGGGCCAGAAATACAGGTTGGAGAGATGTTCATTATATACAAATAGTGATTTAGATTCAGACGCTGTTTCACAGAATAATTTGGTCACAGACTATAAAGAATGGGACACATCTCAGTGGTACTTACCATAATCTGATAGTTAAAAGCAGTAACCTGGAACTATTCTGGCAGATGACTTTTACATATAAACAATACAGACACAGGGAGGGAATCTAAGTAATTGTTTATCTAGACTGGGTCAGATTATTGCCATGAAGTAGTGCTTTGGGGTTACTAAAGAAATTTCATGTATATATTGTATTTATGATCTATATCCTAATATAAAAATATCCCATGATACTCAATAGTTCACGTATCTTCTGTAAAATAATAACCATTTATTGAAAGCATATGAAGTTCTAATGAGCTAAGTGTTTTATATAAATTATATTCTTTCCTCTCTACAACAATTTCTATGAAGTCTTATTGGATATAGTTTACAGATAACATATTCTGATGAGGTTAAGTATCATATCTGAGGTTATGTAATAAGCAAATGTCACAGTCATATTTCTGATCCAGAGCTGTTGGTTTAGCCAAACGACACTTCATTGACTATGCCGTACTAGAAATATTCCATTATCCTTTTTATAAAGTCAGGTTTGTTGAGGTATAATTTATTGTATTTGTTTCCTATTGCTGATATTACAAATTTTCACAAACTTAAAAGCTGGTTAAAGCAGCACAAATTTATTCTCTCTAGCTCAAAATTCCAAGATCTGTCTCACTGGCTGTGGCCAGGTCTGGTTCTTTCTGTAGGCTCTAAGAGTGAATCAGCTTCCCTGCCTTTTCCAGCTTCTACAGACTGCCCACATTCCTTGGCTTATGGCACCTTTTTCTTCAAAGCCAGCAACACAGCATCTTCAAATCTTTCTCTGACCCACTCTCCTGACTCTCTCTTATAAGGACCCTTGTGATTAGATTGGACCTACCCAGATAATTCAGGATAATCTCTTCATCTCAAGATCCTTCATCACAT